AATGTAGTCCCCATATTTAAGAAAGAAAACGGAAATGAGGCACTAAACTACAGACCTGTGTCTCTAACATGTATTGTGTGCAAAGTCATGGAGAAGATTATCAGGAGGAGAGTGGTGGAACACCTGGAACGGAACAAGATTATAAATGAAAACCAGCATGGGTTCATGGAAGGCAAATCCTGTGTCACAAACCTTCTGGAGTTTTATGACAAGGAAACAAAAATAAGACACAAGAAGAGGGTGGGTTAGCATTTTCCTAACTGCGGAAGGCCTTTGACACATTTCCCCCACAAGAGATTAGGCAGAAGGGGAGGTCGGGTGCTTAACGGGGAGGGCACTACAGGATCGGGGAATACCTGACAGGGAGGCAACAAGAGCATGATACATGAAGAGGTTCACGGGGCCTGTGACGAGGGGGGTCCCACAGGGGTCAGTTCAAACCCATGCTATTTTTGAAATACGAACGACATGATGGAAGGAATAGACTTGAAGTGTCCCTTTTTCGCGATGATGTAAACTATGAAAAGAAAAAAATCGGATGAGGTGGCAGGACGAAAAGAGACCGGACGGGCTGGACATGGGGTCCAGAAACGGCTTCTCGAATTCACCCGCCAAATGCAAAGTCATAAAGATTGGGGGGGGGGCAAAGAAACCGCAGACAAGTATAGGCTAAGTGACAAAGACTACAGACCTCACCGGGGAAAAAAGACCTTGGGGTAAAACCGAACACCGAGCACGTCACCGGAGGCACACCAAAAAATTGGGGGTGGGGTGGGGGGTTTGGGACCTTAAAATAAGAATCTTTAAGACACTGTACATTTTGTATGTTGGGCCCCCATACGGGGGAGTATGCACACCATCTGGAACCCCCCCGGGCAAGCACGTCAAAATTAGAAAGTACAAAGGTTTTCAACAAGGCTAGTCCCAGAGCTCAGGGGGAAAGCGTACGAGGAAGGTTGAGGGAAATCGGACGACGACCGGAGGACAGAAGGGGGCAGGGGAGACTGATAACGACATATAAATACTCGGGGAATAAAGGGGACAGAGATAGGTGTTCCGAGAGGGGGCACAGAAACAAGGGGCCCAACTGAAGCTGAAGACCAACAGTCACAGGGACATTAGGAAGTATTTCTTCAGTCATAGAGCCGTCAGGAAGTGGAATAGCCTAGCAAGTGAAGTAGTGGAGGCAGGAACCATACATAGTTTTAAGAAGAGGTATGACAAAGCTCAGGAAGCAGAGAGGGAGAGGACCTAGTAGCGATCAGTGAAGAGGCAGGGGCAGGAGCTGAGTCTCGACCCTGCAACCACAATTAGGCGAGTACACACACACAGCGCGCACGCACAAACACACACACACACACCACACACACACACACACACACACACACACACACACACACACACAGCAAGAGTAGTCAGAAGTGGAATAGTTTGGAAGCGATGTAGTGGAGGCAGGATCCATACATAGCTTTTAAGCAGAGGTACGATCAAAGCTCAGGACAGGAGAGTGACCTAGTAGCGATCAGTGAAGAGGCGGGGCCAGGAGCTCGGACTCGACCCCGCAACCTCAACTAGGTGAGTACACACACACACACACACACCACACACACTCACACACACTCACACACACTCACACTCACACACACACTCACACACACTCACACACATCACACACACTCACACTCACACACACAACACTCACACCCTCACACACACTCACACCCTCACACACACTCACACCCTCACACACACTCACACCCTCACACACACTCACACCCTCACACACACTCCACACCCTCACACACACTCACACACACTCACACCCTCACCACAACATCACACTCACACCCTCACACACACTCACACCCCTCACACCACTCACACACCTCCACACACACCTCACACACCCACACACCCTCACACACACACACCCTCACACACACACACCTCACACACACACCTCACACACACACACCTCACACACACCCTCACACACACACCCCACACACACACCTCACACACACACCCAACACACCACTCACACACCCCCACACACACACACACACACTCACACACACACACACTCACACACACACACACCACACACACTACACAACACCACACACCACCACACACCACACACACACCATCACACACACACACACACACACTCACACACACACAACACACTCACACCACACACACCACACACACACACACACACCACCACACACTCACACACACACACACACACACACACACACACACACACTCACACACCACACACACACACACACACACTCACAACCACACACACACTCACACACACACACACAACACATCACACCTCACAACACCACACACTCACACTCACACACACACACACACACACACACACACACACACACACACACACACACACTCACACACACACACACACACACACACACACACTCTCTCTCTCTCTCTCTCTCTCTCTCTCTCTCTTTTTTTTCTTGTGTATAGTGGTTTGAGAAAGTTGGGAGGTGAAGTTAAGCAAGTTTTAGAATTAAGAGTGTGCTCCAGTGGGATGATATTTATTTTTTCCTTTTTAATGAAGGTAGGGGAAATTGCTAATAGCAGATAGAATTCATGTTGACTGTCAGAAGAGTTTACAGATGTAAGTATATAAAAGATATGGAAACCCTAAAGTGGTAGATGTAGGGCATATGGTTAAGTGGAGTAAAGGGGGTAGGAATGCTAAGCCTTCAGCTTGTAGTTTAGGCTGTACATTTGGTGGTGTGAGGATATAGGAAAGTTTGTGCTTGAATGGGTGTGATTAGATCATCAATTTTTTTTTTCCTGTGTAGAAAGTAGCATAATGTAGTACTCACTGGAAAGTAAAATTGTGGTATTTGCATGAGGTAGTTTAATAATCCATGGCTGGGTTAGTGACAGAGGGCTGTTATTTTTGTAGGTGATCAGTCTTACTGCTGCATGCTACAGATTGGATCTACCAGACCATTATAAATTATTTCTTATTTCCATCTGTAGGATTCTCTTACAATCAACCAAGGAAATCCTCCTCATTAGTTGTTTGTAAGTTTTTATGACATCGATAATGTGGCCATATTGGCAAGATTAAGATGACTTAAAAACTGTTGTGTAAAATATACTTTTGTGAAGTACAATTTTAGGAGTTTGAAACTCTGGCTCAGCAGATTGTCAAATTAAAAAATCGGAAAAATTGTATAATTGGGTTGCTGTAATGCTTGAAAATATTTTGATACACAAGCAAATGTTTTAGACAAAATAAAGCAATAAAAGTGTATCACAGGAATGTGCATTTCATTACCCAGGTCACCTGCACAGCAGAAATGAGAGTTACATGCTTTACTGTGGATTAAACCTGTCTTGAGTGACCATTAGTCAAGAAAAAACATTTAGGCACATTTTTTTTTTTTGTTTATAAAATGATTAGAGATTTTCAGGAGGAAACTGTACAATTTCCTGTAACAAGCTCTGTCTCAGCTAGGTTGCAATAACTTTGTATACCTGCAGGCCACTGCTAGCAAGAGCTTGGTTGACCAGGCAGTCAACAATGAAGAACTTCTCTGGGTTTGAATTCATGAGTAGAACTCTCAAAACCAATCACAGAGCCATCGCTTTATTTTCTTGTATAGCTTTCCCAAACTCGCATTTTTTTCTGTTTTTCTAGAGCACATCTCACAACCACTGTGGCATAATCTTTGCATCATCATTTGTAGTTGTTTCGGACTTCCAAAGTGCATTACAGACTTCACAGAAATTTTCCTCCCTTCATCCCACTGTCCTTCGTGCGCAGCTTTGGCTCTAGTCCATTTCTAGCATGCACAAAGAAGTCATATTTTGTTGAGTCCTTGGACATGTAGATGCTCAGGGTAATGCATATGCTGACTCAGCCACTTAGTACCCCATAGGGGTACTCTTTACCCAAACTATTTTTTGGTTCTCTGTCACCACCTCTTCAACGCTGCCAATAACGTTGGTCTGCTTTGGACCGCAACAACTTTTTTTCTATCATACTATGTTTAGCATTGTTGCCATCATCTTCCCACCATTGTCAGGTTTGGGAGACCCCACACTTGTGCATACGTATTGGACAATGACTCGCCCATGCATATTAAATACAGAGAAACAAGCAGCACTACTTTGAAGGACTGTCAGGTCATATTGTCTGTCCAACATTTATTAAGAGATTGTCTTGTCTGTCAGAGTGCACACAGGACCCACTTCCTATATCTAAACTGCCTTGATACACACTTGCTGAAAGTCTCTTTGATACAGGCTCTTATTTACTTTTTCACTGAAATTAATCTATTGCACTTTTACCAACATTGATTTCAGTTTGATCTGCACTAACCCCTGACTTTGCACACCCATCAATGCTATGACCCCTGTGGGTTTAGCGCTTAGTATTTTATTGGTGCAAATCCCTTTGGAACCTTTGCTTGTTCTTATCTGTTTTATTATCCTCATTAGTTTTACACCAACAGCAAACAGGGATACATCTAAATCAATGCCATCTGGAATGTCAGTCACATAAATCAGAAACAGTACTGGTCCGAATACCAATCCTTGCGGAAGCCCACTAGTTACTCTTCCCCATTCTGACATCTCTTTCCTGATAATCAGTTTGCTTCCTTTCCCTAAGATACTCTTTGATCCATCAGAGTTCATTCCCTGTAATTCTTTGTTGAATCTCAAGTTTTTGCCCCAGCCTCTTGTGGGGTATAGTATCAAATGCCTTATTGCAGTCTAAAATATGCTGTTGACATGTCAGCCCCCCCCCCCCCCCTCCCCATTTTGTTGATGCATATGTGTATGTTAATTATTATTATTATTATTATTATTATAAAAGCAAGAGAGTGATCAAATAAATGTTTTGTATGTGGGTTTTTTCTTAGTCACCTGCCTTGGTGGGAGACAACTGTTGAGTTAAAAACAATGTGTGTATATAATAAATACTCTATATTCCACAGCAAGTGAAAAAGGTGCGCAATAAAGAGAAGCCTTTATTGCGAAGGAAAAGCGAATTACCACACGACCAGTATACAATCAAGGCTTTGAGCGACCACAAACGAGCTGATGACTATCTCACTACATCACCAGAGTTGGCTGCCACAACAAGCTAGATGACAAGATAATTGTGTAAACTGTGTCCAAAATAATCGTGAAGATGGTAAACAATTGACCTGCATTACTAGGGTTTTTTTATTACAGCCCAGAGAATTGGCAGAATAGAATAGTGCCGAAGTAATGCATCTTGATCATTTTTCTTGACTCAGGAGGTCATTAACAAAAAAAAATTTAATTTTTTTTGCAGAATGTTAAGTTTCAGTGTCACTCAGCCTATCTAGGAAAGGAAACAAGTTAATAATATTTCAAACATTTAAACATTTATATTTTGTTAAAAGTTACTTTAGCTCTACTTATTAAAACCCAAAGTGGAAATAGTAATGAGCTTTGTCTCAGTTTTCCATAACCAAACCAATGTCAAATGCATATATCTAATGTTATGATTTACAGCTTAAAGTTCATTGAAAATTGTTGAGGTCATAGGTTGTATCCCATATTTTCCTTTCAGTTAAGGAATTTTGCATTTTAGAGATCAAAAATTTATCATGAGCCAAACATATTCCATTATTGTGATGATGTACAGTAACACATATTCTGATATTTTTGGACTTGCAAGAAGCTGAAGTTTAAACACAAGAGACATTTTTAGAAATCTTCACAGTATGGTTTTACTATGCACTTTTTAGCATATAAAATAAGTTTATACAAAAATGCTACATTATCAAGATAGCTAGAATGACTTCAGGAAGTGTGCAATTTTCAGTGTGGCCATTTATCACACCTAGAGAACCAGTATCAAGATGCAATACAGTATTCTTTCAACCGTTCAAGACTCAATAAACCAGCATGTTTATAACTGAAAGCAAATTAATTTTCAAGGTGTAATTTATCCAAAACTGATATATGTACTGCAAAATTACTTGAAACATCATGAAATTCGAAATCTGAATGTCTTGCATTGGGTTGTGAACTGGATTTCTTATTTCTAGTAGACATTACATCTACAATATATTAAGAAGAGAATTATATGGGCATGTCTGTTTAACATCTAATGGGATGTATAGTTGATACAGTTATGAAAGATAGTGTGTCCTTCTATGCAGCTATGGGCCATATCAGTAGACTTGTCAGCCTTTATGTATTGTTTTAATGTGTTCGATTTATTGTGGTGGTGGTAGCTGTATGAGCGAGTATTTTTTTTTTTTTCAGGTATAGAAATGAGTTAACTTGCAAGTCAGATTCTACTTTAATTCAAATATTCTAAATGGAACTTGTGAAATGTCAAGCTGTTCTCAAGTAATTTGAAATTATTTATATTTACCAAATTTCATCTTTACTTCCATTTATGTATTTGACATATAATAATCCAGGAATTAGTTCCAATGATTGTTGAGTATTTTGTATTTACTATGTGGAATGATAAATTGTCATTTAATTATTTTCTATTATGTTTGTTTATGATGCGATTGTTCTTTGAATGATTGTGAATGCCTGTTCGTGTTCATAAATAGGCATGCCCAAAGACTTTTTTTCTTGTATAAATACAAATATGAAGATAATTGAAATGGCCTATTTAAGGATTCAGCTTCCTGTCGACTGATTACTGTGATGATTAAAAGCCATTATAGCCATATGTTTGTTTCTTTAAAGGTTGTTAGATATCAAACTGAATTGAGCGCAAGCCTTAATAGATTATCTTGCAGGGTCAACATCATTAATTGCCGCACTAAGAGTTTATAAAGTGATGGCTAAACCAGAGCAGGTATTAGTGTCCTTCATGTGTTTATAAGAAACAGAGTTGCATTTTACTGGACTTCTGACAGAAACTTTAAATAACCTGATATAGATAGTACTGCAATGATTTAAGAATTAAATTTTAGGTAATAAACATTTAACAGATAGTATTAGATAACATGTGGAATATGTTGTGTTATTATGTTCAGATAGCTATAACCAGAGTTTATTGGAAGATTATGTTGTACAATATTTTTAGAAGTATAACTGCAGATTTCCCATTATATACTGATTTAGCGAAGTTCTGATAAAATTGCCATAAATTGAGCTGCTCTCCAGGGTGTAGGAAGTACAGCAAGGTCACTTTCACCATCATTTGAGTGTGTGCATGTGTGTGCTGTACATAGTAGTAAGACCCTGATAAGTGGTAGTGATGGCCAAGCATTACGCATGTGTTAATGATCGTTGCTTTAGGTCCTGCAGTAGTATTCCTGTGAGGCTTGATTTGGTGTTACACATGTAACCAGAGCCTTGGAGAATTATTACATCAGGCTCTACTTAATTGATCATCACTTATATGTAGGAACTTGTGTAGACCAAAGGCCCATGTAGTGAATGAGTGATGTGCTGACAGTGCTCCTTTGGTTGATCTTCCTTTCCCAAATTCCTTGCTCTCCTCACTTTTTCTCACATTAAATTTTCTCAGTTTAAAGCATGAAATTGAAATCCGAGCCTTACTAATTATCTATAGTAAATGTTGTTCCTGTTCTTTATCTTCTCTCATTTAAGTGAATTTAATGATAGAGAATTTCTGAATGCATGATGATGATGAGGGAGCATAATTCATGATGAGCATTTTTGTTAACTTGTTCTGCCCATTCCATGTTTCATGCTCAGTTCTATTTTTCCATTGCAGTCACTGTCGTAATGAAGGGGCTCACAGTGGTGAATATCCCTTTCAGGAGAATGTTCTTGCCCAGTTCATATTTACCTCGTATAACTTCCACAATATGGATTATGGAATGGGGAGCAGAGCTTTAAACCTTCACAAAAATATTGTAACTAGTGCTCTAATAATAATAATGTATCCTGTAAATTCTAATGCTGTATTATCCATAATCACAATTATCATTTTTTATTCATCATAATTGCATAAACATTCATATCCTTCACATATTCTAAAGGTGATATTTGAAATTCATAATATAATGTATTGTGTATAAATGAAGAAAAAATGTTTCATCTCACTCTAATTTAATAGACAACTTACTGTTTTCTTATCTTAAGCCTTACTCATCATTGCCCCTTCCAGTCCTCATCAGTTGCTCATCCTACCTCAAACTCATGTCATTGTATTGTCAATTTTTTTTTTTTTTTTTAATGCCAGTACAACCCAGGCACACATCACCTTGTCATGATTGGCACAACTGAACTCTGTTAAATACTTCAGTAAGACCTTGCTATTTTAATACAACACACTGCAGAGCTTTTATTGTGGTGTTACACAGAGGACAGATTGGCTAATGATTACAGTACATAATAGATTTCTAATATTGCAATCCTCCAGACCCACAACCTGTCACATCATCCCATCAGTTTTATTTTGGTGCTGTCTGTGTGTTAGGAACCCAAGATATTGAGATGATAATTATTGTAATATGTAAAATAATGTAAAAGGCTAACAGTAGACAAGCCTCTAAGTATTGATAGGCTTTACTGGCAGTCACAATAAATGAGTAAGTGTATAAGCCTTGTAAAGACATGAATAAGTATAACCATTTGTTAGGTTGGTCTGAAACAGTGTTAAAATGTATCTCAGTCTTGCTTCTTGTATTTTTGAAAATATGAATGGACTAATGACTCAGTTGCTTCCAAAGCTACCATTTCTATTTTGATAATATAAGAAACTGCTCAATGTTTTTTCTTCGTGAAAACACAAAATGCCGCAGGTATAATGTGACCTAGAATTAGGTATGTTGGATTACAGTACTTGTAATATTTAAGTGACACTGAGGTAAGCCATTTGTGACCTTGGTAAGTCCATAAGAAGCCAAGTTTTTACATTAATACTATCATTGCAGTCCAGGCACCTTTTGTAGCCCTGCAGTGGTGGCCGCCCATACTCTGTAGTTCCATTACATTATCAACATTCACCTTTGGTATTATACTTCCTCTATATATTTCTTCCTGTGTGATATACCAATGTATACTATGTGATAAGATCAGTGAACTCAGCCATATTTGTTAGCATGTCAGTAATGATATTTTCTAAAAAAAATTAATTGGCATTATAATAAATTCCATTTGGCATCATTGATGGTGTTGCATATATAGCGGAAGCAACTTGGGCTCGACATCTTTTCCCTTCCAATTCTACACCCAGAGACTGGTCGGTAAAGGCAGAGGAGTGCATTCCTACAGAAAGACTTGTGACTTCTTGCCTTAGATAATTTTATCTCTTGTTCAGTTTTTATTATTGTATTACATTCCAAGAACTGTGGTGTCAGATATGACTTACTTCAAGAAAACTAAATTGACATTCCTCTTCTATTCTCTAAGAAGGACTGAACATTATATTAGTTATATAATCTCAAATGAAGTTCTTTAGAAAAAATTAGGAAAGTCACCTCTCGCTTATCTATTCTTGTATGTAAATTGACAGTTTCTGAATACAACAGATGAATGCACATTCATCACATCGGTGATGATTAAAGTACTTACCTTTTTTGAAGTAAGAACTGTTTTTCAAAACTTCAGTTGAGGTGATTTCATATAGAAATTTAGAATTGTACGAGAGAGGTGGGAAGACATATAGTCATCGCTATTTTGGTTTGCTCTTTGAGTGCATTTTTAAAAACATGATCTGTAAACAATATGCAGGGACTTTCAGTAGTTTACAACAAAATTGCTATATGTAAATGCATTTAGTGTTGAAACCATTGCTATATAAAATTTATGTAACTGCTGTGAAAAATGCAGCAAAGAAAGTCTAATTTTATTTAGGTTATGTTAGTAGTGCTGGTAGTAATGCAGATATTGTAATGAATTCATTGGAAAAAGACATTTACCTTTAGCTGATCTGCATGTTCTGTTGCAATTTTGTTTTGGAGGAGAGGGAGGGAGAGAAGAAAGTTTATATAAATGTGCTTGGAAATCAAACTGTAATGCCTGGTGACTGCTTATTTTGTGTAACAACACTTAAACAAGTTTACTTATGCATTCCATTTCTTGCATTTGTGTTCTCTGTTCTGTCTTATGGCTGTTACATATTTTTTACATTTAAAAATGTTTATAACCCATAAAACATTTCTTGCCATAAAAATGTATGCTGTATAATTTTGTCATTAGTGCCTGATATATTGCTATAATCTTGTTGAAGAAAATTATATTGCACATTTTATCTGCTGCTTTTTTTATTTTTTATTTTTTTGTTGCAGTTCTAATGCTATAAATACCATTCTAACTAATATTTACTGGAGGAAGCTTTATAGGAAATATTGATTGTCCTAGCTTAACCTACCTCTGTCTTGTAAATAATTGTGTTATACAAAATCCTATGCAATACTGTAGAGAATCAAAACTAAAATTTGCATGTCCACACACATGAATAAAACATCTCGTATAAAGTTTACTCATTATTGATAAAAAATGGAAATATCAAATTCTTCTTTGTTGTCTTGCCTGTATTTTATTTACCCTGCTTTCCTTTAATTTTTCATGAAACAAGTATACTGAGGTTGATAATGTGTAAAAGTATTTAAAAGCATGTAATATGTAATCATTAAATGGAAGTCAGGTAAGGAGAGGTGACTGTAAATTTCTTAGTCTCTAGTATGCTTCCATCACTTAAAATACTCGGTCTTTCTTTTTAGAATGTCACTCGGATGTCCTTTGTGCTGCCTGACACTTGACAGTTTCCTTCACTCTTCTTTCTTAGAGAAACATCAATATCAGAAGTCATGTTTTGGTATTTGTAAAACTTAGTAACATTCATTGTAACATTACTACTTTATATCCAGTGCCTCTGCTGATTTAAGAAAAGAAAGCTGTTGGAAATATTGTAAGCTGCTCTCTTTTTGATGCTTTGTGAGTGGTAAGGGAATAATTAACAAACTAAACTTGTCAAAAAAAAGTCTATCCATCATTCATTCTTGGGTGCTGCAATATTGCAGCAGAACAAAATTTAAGTGGATAAGGTCACTAATATGTTTGCTGAGGTAAGTGCAAGAATGTAGGGTGACATTCTTTTCTCAAAACAGCTACTGTAAATTTGCTGATGCAAAATTTATCTTTTGTTTATAGAAGACCATTGATAATACATTTTATGCAAAATTTTGATCAAAGCAAAGAATGGTTTTTGTATTGTGCAACAGGATATTGTGTTTAGTGTTGAATTGTACTTGCTTTAGTCATCAGGAACAAAATTGCATCAACAGTGATAGGCCTGAAATTTCTGATGACTTGTACATGGAGATCACCTTCCATTATAAGAAGCTTATAAGTTTGACACACACAATATTTAACCTCATTCTTTGCTCTTGATCATGTTACCATTTGGTGTTCCACCCTTGTGTTCTGTATATCATCATGCCATATCAACATGTCAGATCATTATTTGTTTTGATTTTTGTCATTCATTCTTTTCTTTAATTTTTGTTCATAGAGTTGTCTTATCTTTTAAGTGTAAATGTGGAAATAGAATATTAACAATAAATGATCTGCTATGGCAGCTTGTTGTTTTCCTCAATATGTTTTATATTTTTAAAGGAAATAAAAATGGTGAAATCACATGTAGGATCTCACATGAAATTTGCTGTACTGAAGGGACACTGATCAGAGGAATTGAATTTCTTTCCTTCCTTGGTTTGAATCTAGGTACCCCACCTTTTTCTTATGCCTTTGTAGAAGGGGGGTATTATTTCTTTTGTGAAATTCAGGCCCCAAGATCAAATGAGGAGGACTACAGTATATCAGTATTGTTCTACAGTAGCTTCCACTGGCAGCGCTGTGACGATTGTCACACCACCTGGTGAAAATTTTATCATAGGGTGCCCGGTGTCCCTCCAACGAAACCTCAGGTGGCCATCTGGCAGGGCTTCTGTTGGCAGAGGTATTACTGTAGGTTGCTTGTGGATCAAGACATTGCAACAAAATATATGAGTCTTCAAACTCCAGGCCAGGGTGTAAGCCACTTGGTCAACTGGCTACAATAAGATTCATCCAACTAGGTGTATTTATATACCATAGGGAGGTTAGCATGGGTCCCACTAACCACAAATGCAAGTTTTTACAAATGAATCTCCCGCCAGCATGGCCATGACGAACTCTAGCTCAAGTCCCCTCAAAGCCATCATCATGACTCGCAAAATTGTTATAACATGGATGAATCTTATTGTAACCAGCTGGCCTGGAGTTTTATGACTCTCGTGCCACAAATTCAAGCCCCACCCATACTGTGATATGTTTACAATTGATCACTTCCACTCTCATTCTCATGCCATCGCTGTGTACACAGATGGCTCTAAGTTTTCAGACGGCGTCGGACTCGCAGCAGTGTTTCCGGACAGCATCGTGCGAGGGCATTTACAATCTTCGGCTAGCATTTTTACTGCTGAATTGTATGCCAATCTTGCAGCACGTATTCGTATCACATCTATGCCTGTGTCATCATTTGTGGTAGTCTTAGACTCCCTTAGTGCTCTACAGGCTATACAAAAATTTGATACACCTCACCCCCTAGTTCTCCGTATCCAACTTTGGCTACGCCGTATCTCTACCAAGCATAAAGATATTGTTTTTTGTTGGGTCCCTGGTCATGTCGACGTACAGGGCAATGAACAGGCAGACACTGCTGCGCGGTCAGCAGTACATGACCTACCAATTTCCTATAGAGGTGTTCCATTTCTGGACTATTTTGCTGCAATAGCTACCCACCTTCACACCCGTTGGCAACAACGTTGGTCAACTCTGCTTGGTAACAAACTTCATTCTATTAAACCGAGCATAGGTTACTGGCCGTCTTCTTGTCATCAGTGCCGAGGTTGGGAGACCACTCTCTCCCGCCTTCACATTGGCCACACTCGTCTTACTCATGGGCATCTCATGGAGAGGCACCCTGTTCCTCTCTGTGAGTGTCAAGTTCCAGTATCGATTAGCCACATTCTATTAGACTGCCCTCTCTATCAACGAGCACACAGAATTTACCTCCATCGTCGTCTTCGTTCTAATACTCTCTCTTTACCTTCCCTTCTTGCTGATGGACCCTCCTTTAATCCTGATTCTCTCATTGACTTCTTGACGACTGATTTACTCCACAAACTCTGATGATGATACCTTTCGCACTCCCCTCAGCCCTTTTTAGTTCAGTCTCTTGCTGCCCTTTACCCTTTCACCATCCACTGCCCCGCTGTTATCCATAACCTATTACTCATCCATCTCCCTTTTGCCACCTGATGCCCTCGCTTCCTTCCTGCCCTGCAGCGCTGTATAGCCCTTGTGGCTTAGTGCTTCTTTTTTATTATAATGTAACCTAATGATCATCCCTCCTCCCTTCTGCTACCCAATACCCTCGCTTCCTTCCCTACCCTGCAGCGCTGTATAGCCCTTGTGGCTTAGCGCTTCTTTTTGATTATAATAATAATAATGGGAGACTACTCTCTCCTGCCTTCGCATTGGCCACACTCGTCTTACTCATGGGTATCTCATGGAGAGGCACCCTGTTCCTCTCTGTGAGCAGTGTCAAGTTCCAGTATCGATTAGCCACATTCTGTTAGACTGCCCTCTCTATCAACGAGCACACAGAATTTACCTCCTTTGTCTCCGCTCTACTACTCTCTCTTTACCTTCCCTTCTTGCTGATGGACCCTCCTTTAATCCTGACTCTCTCATTGACTTCTGGACAACGACTGATTTACTCCACAAATTCTGATGATGATACCTTTCTACCTCAATCTCTTGCTGCCCTCTACCCTTACACCATCCACTGCCCCGCTGTTCTCCATAACCTGTTACTCATCCATCTCCCTTTTGCCACCCGATACCCTTGCTTCCTTCCTGCCCTGTAGCGCTGTATAGCCCTTGTGGCTTAGCGCTTCTTTTTTGATTATAATAATAATACAATTGTGTTATTACAATTTCACGAGTCATGATGATGGCTTTGAGGGGACTTGAGCTAGAGTTTATGGCCATGCTTCTCTCCACTCGTCAATATGTCTTTCGTAAGGGCCGTTCTACCATAGACCCCTTACTACGCTTGGATACGTATGTTCGTAATGCCTTTGCGAATAACCACTCGGTTATTGCCATATTTTTTGACCTTGAGAAGGCATATGACACAACTTGGAGGTATAATATTTTGGCCCAAGCCCACTCCTTAGGCCTTCGAGGCAATCTACCATCCTTCCTTAAGAACTTTTTAACTGACAGGCATTTCCGTGTTCGGGTTAATAATGTGCTCTCCCCGGACTTTAGCCAAGTTGAAGGTGTCCCCCAGGGATGTGTTCTGAGCACAACACTTTTTCTCCTTGCTATAAATGATTTGGCCTCTAGTCTTCCATCAAATATTTGGTCATCACTCTATGTTGATGACTTCGCTATTGCCTGTGCAGGCGCTGGCTGTCACCTTATTACAGTTTCTCTCCAGCATGCGGTCGACCGTGTTTCCAATTGGGCCACCACACATGGGTTTAAATTTTCCAGCACCAAAGATCGCCAAATTACTTTCACTAGACGCTCTGTCATCTCCGATCATCCTTTGTACCTCTAGGGCTCCCGTATCCCTGAACGTGATACAGTCAGGTTTCGGGGCCCCTCCTCTTTGACCGAAGGTTATCCTGGAAACCTCACATTACCTCTCTAAAGGGCAATTTGTCACAGCCGACTGAACCTTCTTAAAACCCTTGCTCATCTTTCATGGGAGAGCTGATCGCGAACCTCCTTCACCTACATTACACCCTCATTTTATCGAAACTTGATTATGGGGGACCAGATCTATTCAAGCGGCCTCTCCTGCTACTCTCTCTAGCCTTAACCCCATTCACACCAAGGATTACGTTTATGCCTTGGTGCTTTTCGCTCTTCCCCTGTTGAGAGCCTCTATGCAGAAGCGAACATTCCATCCTTATCCAATTGCCGTGATGCCCATTGCCTTCGCTACTATGTACGCTCTCATGACTCCGCAATCCATCCATTTATAGAAGGTCACTGATATTAGTAGACATTCTTTATTTGTTCGCCACCCGTTTACTTTCCGTCCCTTCTCTCTTCGCCTTCATTCGCTCTTGTTCTTCTCTTCATTTACCCTCTTTCTATTCATGTAGCATCTCACTTTCCCCTACCCCCCTGGGAAGTTCCAGCTGTTCGAGTCTGTTCTTTCTCTCTCCCTTGCTCGAAAGCCCAACTGTTAGGGTCGCTTCCCGCCTTTTTTCCCTTTGGGCCATTCCACTCTCATTCTCATGCCATTGCTGTGTACAAGATGGCTCTAAGTTTCTGCGGCGTAGGATTCGCAGCGTGTTTCCGGACAGCGTGTAAAGGCATTTACTTTTTTCGGTAGTATTTTACTGCTAAATTTTGTTCCATCCTTGCAGCACTTACCCGTATTGATCATCTGTGCCCATCATTTGTGGTTGTCTCAGATCCCTAGTGCTTTACAGGCTATACAGAAATTTGATACACCCACCCCTTATCCCCGTATCCAACTTTGGGGGGCTACACCGCTCTTTACCAAGCAAAAGATATTTTTTTTTGTTGGGTCCCTGGTATGTTGAGTACAGGCAATAAACAGGCAGAAAGCGCGCGGGTCGCGTACAGACCTACCAGTTTCATATAGAGGTATTCCATTTACGGACTATTTTCTGCAATATCTTCCACCTTCACACCCGTTGGCAACAACTTGGTCTATATGCCGGTAACAAAATTCAATCTATTTTAAACCCAGTAAAGGTTACTGGCCCCCTTTTATCACCAGTGTCAAGGTTTGGGGGACTACTCTTCCCCCTCTCCGCATTGGCCTACTTGTCTTACTCTGGATATCTCATGGGGAGGCGCCCCGCTCCTCTTGCGAGAATTGTCAGGTTCCATTATCGGAGCCACATTCTGTAGACTGCCCCTTTTTTTACAGCACGCAGAATTTACCCCCAACGTCATCTTCGCTCCACTGTCTCTCTTACCTTCCCTTCTCGCTGATGGACCCACCTTTCATCCGGACTGTCTCATTGACTTTTTGACAACAACTAACTGACTTCACAAACTCTGATGATACCTTCAGCCCTTTCTACCTTGATCTCTTGCTACCCTGCCCCGCTGTTTTCTGTAACCTACTGATCGCCCCTCCCCCCTTCTGCCACCCAATACCCTCACTTCCTTTCCTACCCTGCAGCGCTGTATAGCCCTTGTGGCTTAGCGCTTCTTTTTAATTATAATAATATGGCAATGCTAACAGGAGATTTTGTGTTAACAATGGGGGACATGCTAACCTCCCTATGGTGTATAAATATACCTAGCATAGGCCACTGGCCAGGTGGCCACCTGGCCAGTAAAATTAGCCCAGTGGCTTATGCGCTGGCCTGAAATATTAAGACTCGCTGTGAGTTTGAGCCCCACCCATACTATGGTTTGCTTGCAATGTTACCATGATTTTGTGAGTCATGATCTTGCCTAAAGGGGAGATTTTGCTAAGCCCTTCTCAGCTCTCCGTATCATACTTTGGTTACACCGTATCTCTACTAAGCA